GTTTGACATCTTTGATACAAGTAACGAGTTCACTTCCAAGTGAACAACCCGATAGTCTTCTTCTTATCATAGCATACCAACCAGCGAACACCCAGCCAAGTTTAGTTAGCCAGTTTGAGTATTCGTTACACCTACCTTTTCTAGACTAGATTACATAGACGATAGCTAAAGCAAGTTTCAATATAATTATTCCCATCTGGCATAGTAGTATGAAATTGATTTATGAAGTCTTTACTATTCTCACCTTCTTTCTAGGTGTAAGCTCAGGGCGAAGAATACACGAATCCATGACTGCAAACATTGTCGCTTATATCAAGGACGCCAAGGATACAAAATTGTACAACAATCAACCTTTCTCGATTCCCCGCAACTTTCACAGAATAAGTATCCTATTTTTCACTCATCCTCGGAATCAGTATCTAACTGCATAGTAAGATGCACAGACTCATCGTCGCTCGATTCCTCCCCTCCATCCATCGCAACATCTTCATTGCCGGCTTGAGAAACGGCGACGGAATCCTTTTTACTGGCTTCGAAAAGATGATCAACCATAGCACTGGAAGGTGCCGCAACCCCAGTATTCGACCTCGAAGTAGAAAATCCGTTTTTGGCGCCAGTAGCAAAAGGATCTTTTTGGGATTTCGTAAACCCAAGACCAGGTTGATTATCAACAACCTCATGCCCGGTCGTCTCACCATGAATCTGTCTCTCGACCTCGAATCGTTCCTCCTCATCCTCAGCACCAATCCCCATATCCTCATCCTCTTCATCAAGATTTTCAGCATCGTAAGAAAGCCCTTTCAGTCCACCCGAAGAGACAAGCGGCATTCTAGGACGAAGTAAAATTTCCACCACATCGTCTTCGGGAAATTCTCTGGTGAGATGGGGCAAGATGCTGGCCATAGCCTTTCCATTCTTCCCAACAAATGGATTCAGGATGCTGGCTAGCATGGCGTCTTTTTGATGGGCTAGGATGGCCGTTCGTTCTAGAAGGGCGCGAAGAGAGATGTCGATGTGCTGTTGAGGGAGGTGGGATAGGAAGAGTGGGAGGAGAGACTTGGCTGAGCGTGTTAGGGGTGTATCCTCGAGAGATGACAGGGTTGTTGGTTGTTTGGATTGGAGAAAACTGTCGGCGTTTTGATTTACAAATTGTGACTTTTTGCCTGTAATCAATCCTTCTTGTATTTTGGCATCTTTTGCGGTGTCATCGTATGATTGGAGGTCCTTGCAACAGGCTCGAATTATTGGGAATACCTTTCCGGTCTGGGTCTTGTCGAAACTTTGGCCGGTGTGGACGAGGATATTGGAAGTAACCGCGTAAGCGATGGTGCGAAATTCGGTGGTGCTTTTGGCGAAGGGGAATAGCCATACTATTTGATCTAGGATTTCCTGTGCTATTGGAACAAACCCTTCTTGTAACCGTCCAGCGAGAGTTTGGATAAGATCTAGAGCCGTGATGTATATCTCAGGCATTCCACACCATAATCCATCTCGCTCATCTCGGTCAATCGCTGGGTGAAGTCGGGCATTTCCTTGACCTGATGATCCATCAGATGATGGAACAGCGATTGATAATATTCTTGACACCAAGTCCAAAATAGCTCCCAGTGGTATGCAGACATGTGTGGATGTCTCAGCCTTGCAATATTCGGCCAAAAGTCCCACCAATCCAACTAATCTTTCCACTCCAGAAGTGACGCCAGTCCAGGCAGGGAAATCTTCCGCTGCATCACCTCCACCGCTTAGTTCTCTATTGATATCAACACTTTCGCCGATATAATCCGTACTTGACTCCCAATCTTCAACAACGGCTCGGAAAACACTGTCAGCTGTGACGTGGGTGGTTTTGATGAGTTCTCGAACTGCTTTCGCCCATTCCTCCCCAGTCGTATCCTTTCCACTCGCCTTTGGGGCCGTCAGAGGGATCAAAACCACCAGGTGACGTGCACTTTCTTGAAGTGAAGAAGGTACAAATACATTGCCCGAAAGCGTTGGAGCAAGGTAAAGTCTAGTGGCAGCCCGTAACTTGAAGGTAAATGGCCGGAAAGTTGTCGTATGGTGGGGCAAAAGTGATGCAAAAGACTGAAACACACTCTCAATGAGTGAAGAAGGCACATCCTGACCTGAGATTGCTTTAAGACAGGAGTCCACATATGCTGATAAAGTTGGTGTGGTTATCTCCCGGACCAGTGTTGGATATTGATGGGTCATTGAATAAATCTTGGTGAGTGCCACGATACACAATTCTTTCAACACTGGTAGGTTTGATTTCTGCATGATGATTAGCATTTCCGATAAATGACGGGGAATTCTTTTTCACACTTCTAAGATGGACAACAAGCCTCGAGCCCACGATTCAGCTCCTCTCAAGACCTCCCACCCACCAACTTCAATGACACCTTTGATTAAAATCACCGCAGCAAATCGACCCTCTAAACTCCTTCCATTTAGTAGGGTTGATAATTGTGTTTTGAGCTTGTGGACTAGCACCGCACTTGGGGATGCATCCGCTTTCCCAGAGTTTGGCGGGCTTGATAATGGGCCCTGACAGCGGATGACATAATGTTGAAGGGTTGGAATAAGTCGCGGAAGCTCAGCAACGGGCGTTGAGCTGAGCTTGAAGCACAAAATGCGTAGTTCTGAAGGGAGAGACATGGTGAGGCCAAATTGAAGCGAATAGATGAGCTGTCTTTCTGAGTCGTTATAGTAAGTATTTTTACAAGCTGTTAACCTCAGGCGCTCAAATTCGAGAGGTCGCGAGTGTCGAAAGTTCGAGCACGTACAATATCCTCACGGATTGTGGAATTTGTAATCTTGGTGGTGACAGTGACAATTCTTAGTATCGTAATCGTGACTTACCTAGGTTTCTCGAGTATATCGTGAACCTCAGATGAAAATATGGATGAATAAAAAATCCCCCATGCCCCACGTTGTTGCTTTCCATCTTTCTGATTTGTCCGGCTAAAAGTGGCCTCACCTCAGCACCGGCTCGGAGCGACTTTCCGATATATTCTCCGATCCATCCCCGACCCTACGCGACCCCTAACCTTACGCCGACCCCTACCCAATTTCAGTGGCCAGCAGTGACGCCCATGGGTGAGTACACAAGTCGATTGTGCACCCCCTCCACATCTCGCTTTGCTCTTGCCCCTAATACGGTGTCGGGTTTCCAATGATGACCACCGTCTAATAATATACCGGCTCCGGTAGTGCTGCCTTTTTGTTTTGGCGACCTGCAAATCTCTTCTACCTCAATTCCACGTACCAACAATGAGCGTTGTATGTTTCCCCATGATCCATGAACCATGTTCCATAAATCCAAAGACCAGAGCTCTCTGCGATGCTATATCCCATACTCCGTACTCCGTACCCCTAGAAATTGGGACTGATCTTTGTTCTTCATAGCGCGATCCATCCAAAGCCGGCCTGTATATCCATCAGCTAGACGAGGCTCGCTGTCATGGCAATTGGGCAACAGTGCCTGAACTGGTGAGGAAAATCAAGAAGCATGCGCCAAATCGGACTTGTACGTGCTACACCGGTTTCCCAGTATTCGAGGGCTATTATTGATAAGCTGGAACAGGTCTGGCATTGACAGCAGAGGCCGAACTTGTTGCTCATGAAGCTTCCCTTATCCGGCCTACCTCCCGCCCAGGGACCGCCAACACAGCGAGTACAGCAAGACCCCCCTCCTCTGAACCGGCACCAGCTCCGAACCTCTCTGAATACATTCCCCTTTTGCAGAATGCAATCGAAAACGAGCATACCTTTGTCGAGGACGAATTCCAGGCACAGGTGTGTTTAGGATGGATACATTGGTTGCTGAATGACCCTACATTGGCAGCCCAAGTGCTGCCTAAAAGCATCGAGCAGGAGTTTTCGCAGTTGGATGGTACGAACAAGGAATCCGCAGAATGGACGAGAGTGTGTGCATTGAAAGCGTCCTATCTAAAGGGAACCGCCCAGGTGAGAACCGGAGCAGTGGCAGAAGCTCTAGTAACCTTCGAGACTGCCCTGCCAATTTTATCCAGCGTGTCAAGTTTGTCCGGCCCTGGTAAGCATGGAAGAGAGTTATGGTCGTGGTCTGAACTGTACTTGACGGGCTTTTGCATGCTTTCGAGCCACGCCATTAAGAACAAGGTATCATCATTGTTGGAAGCAGAGACACTTTCTGCGTTCCGGGCGTGGGGAAACTTTTGGGATACACAAACGCCAGCCCCCACAGGAGGGCGTGCTTTTCAAGCCGAAGTACCTAGACGTCGAGTATGGAGAGAATATTACATTACACTTTCAGACCTCTTGCGACAAGATTTGCCGTTTCCCACGACATCCTTAACAATAGCCCATGCGGAGCCATCCACCAGATTGCGACAGCGTGCAGAAATAAAACGAGTAGAAGCAAAATATGAAACCTTGCTTTTAGCCGAAGTTCATTTTCCAAAAGCGGATCAGGCTAGCGAGGAAGTTGAATCTTTTGTCGAGATTGTTATGGAAAATTGGCGAATACTCTGTGGAAGCAATTGGAAAGAGTACGACTTGGGCGAGGGTGGCTCTGAGGATGTAAGTCGAGGTGTTCTCGATATTCTCTATCGTGCAGCAACGAAAACTTTCCATTCAACTGCCATTCTCAGACATCTTTTTACAGTACACCTGGCAATTGCAGAGTTCGACTTGGCCTTAAAGGCCTTCGATACCTACATGGAGATTGTCAAAAAAGCAAAAGCGCGAGAGGCGAAGACAGGGGAATCCGAGCATGGGCTAGACAATGATGAGACAGTATTAAGAACAGTCTCCGAATGTATCAGAGCCCTATGTCGATATGGCTCTCGTCAAGGAGCAGAAAAGGCCAAGGACCTAGGTCAGTATCTTGAAGAGTGGATGGAGAGCCACCGTTCAACGGAGCCAAAGACTCAAAATAGACGTACCCCAGGCCACGAGCACCTAACAAATACTGGTTCATATGTTGATCCAAGAGTATTTGCCATGGTATGGCGAAGTATAGGTGTCAGTCAGGCTCAATGGGCTCGTATGACCTTTGATGCCTCGTCAAGGTCGGAGACTCAGATTAATGCTATGAAGTCTTTTCGGAAGTCACTATCATTAGAGTATCAAAGTTCTTCAGATGTGGAAACTTTGTTCGCTCTAGGTATACTTCTGGCTGAACGCAGAGAATTAGGACCGGCAATCGATGTTGTAAAAGCTGCCCTCCTGCCTCGTCCCTCAGCTACACCAATTCCGACGCATGAATCAGGCCCACATGCGGTCGCTTTTGCACGAGAAAGGAAATTGATACCTCTGTGGCATCTCATGGCATTGCTGCTCAGTGCGCGACAAGAATTCATCACTGCGACAAGATCTTGCGAAGGTGCCTTTGAGCAATTTCAAGATCCAAAATTTCTCTTTGGGGACGAGTACCTGGATGGTTCATTTCGCAGTGAACACTTGAAAGAATATGAGAAATCATTAGATGTTGGAGCTGTGGATGATATGGATGACTTTGAAAGGGAAGGCATTCTAGAAGTAAAAATGACTCAGCTAGCGTTGATCGAGGTTCTTGAAGGGCCTGACATTGCCGTCAATGCTAGTGACGAATTGTTGAGTCTCTACACCAGGCTGTTTGGTGATCCGCAGAAAGATCAACCACAAGAGTTATTATCTGCTGCACCTCCTAAAACATCGGCAGGGACGATAAGAACTATCAGAGGTAGCATATTTGGGAGAACCGGTCGTTCTTTACGCAAATCAATTCCTCCTGCTGCACCCGGATCTACCACCCAAGAAACCAGAGAAAAATCGTCGCCAGAGCGGCCACAAACCTCCCGTAGTACAATCGCTCCTACAATTCATGTCACTGGTGAGAATGGCACTGCAAAGTCGAGGCGAGACTCACTCAGGAATCCCCATCATCAAGAGAAGTTACAGAAAAGAAACGACAGTACATCTAGGAAAAGAGGTACGAGTCTAAGGAACAGGAGTAGCAGTGCCAGCAAAGCACGAAATACTAGCTCTGCGCGGAATTCAAGAAACGCAGGTACCGAGGTGGACAGTGAGAATTACTTTATCCCAATGGACCAGAACAGAGATTCTTGGCTGCCCGAAGATCAAGAAGGCGAAATTGGGGTTGCTGTCATTCCGGACTCTTCTTTACCATCGAATGTACTCCCCCCAAAGTCTCAGAACATGTCACAAGTAGACCCGTCCTTGAAGCCCTCCGTTCAAGACAATCGACTTCCCAAAATATCACCCCTTTCGTCCTCAACAGGTCCGGCGACAAAATTTCCAAAAGAACAACAAAAAAGGCGAAGGACAGCAATCCTAGTCAAGGTCTGGTTGTTAATTAGTGGGTTTTACCGCAGAGCCTCCATGTTTGAAGATTCTAGGGGAGCCATTCAAGAGGCACAAAAGCTTGTTGAAGGTGTGGAAGAAGAAGTATCAAGAGATACCACTGGGGCTGTTTCTTTGCAGTACGCTGGTTGGGGAGGTGGTAAAAGCGTTGGTGAATTGTGGGGTGACGTATTTGCAGAAGTATGTGCTCATCGCCCTTGTTTACGGAATGTTTCTAACATGTATTTCAGCGTGGATTTCTTGCCATTTCGGAAGCATTGCCCTATCTTGCTCTTCAACACTTCGAATCCGCCTTGACAAATTTTGCAGACCATCCTTCTGCCATTGTGGGGTTGTCAAACATACTTCTCGATATATATACTGAAGATCTTTTGCCACTTCCTGCGATACCACCTCTTGTTCAACCTCATGACACCCAGACCCCATCAGCATCCACATTGACAGAACTCGCTACTAATCTCAATATTCACTCTACACGACCTCCAACTACGAAGCAATCATCCATCTTACCTAACGCACCAATTGGACCACTGGGGCTGCCGTCTGTAAAACCAGTGTCTAAAGCTACCGACTTCCAGGCCTCCACTTCAACCCCGGACTCACCAAATTCCGTCTCAGGCTCCAGAGAGACTTCTGCTATGTTCTTAGATAGGTTGGCAGCAAGAGACAGAGCATACGGACTGTTAAGCGGCTTGACAAAACTGGGGTCAGGATGGAACTACAGCGAGGCTTGGTTTGCGCTTGCTCGAGCTTATGAAGAGGGAGGTCAACCTGATAAGGCCAGGGAAGTTCTGTGGTGGTGCGTTGACCTCGAAGAAGGGAGAGGTGTGCGAGGTTGGCAAGCTATTGGAAGTGGTGGGTATGTCTTGTGAGCTTTTCGCAGGGAGATCGTGCGGAAAGGTGAAAGTCAATGGTTTCCGGCGAATCGATGAATGCCCCGTGCTTTAGAAGACCTCTTGTGACTAGACCCGAGTATAGAACATAAATTCAGATATACTATTTTTGGAGCTTGAGGGTTCACAGGGTCGGTTTTAATTGTACCTGACAGCCTTGACATCGGTCGCATTAGGGCAGGGCGAAGCGGCTCATTTATTGGGTTTTGAGCTAAATTCTCATAGCACCTGATTATGCAATATTAGATTGAATTTCTGTGCAACGCCCGAAGTGGATGCTCGATCTTCAATGTATTCGATTGAAGCATAGGCCAAGTGCAGGTATTTAATTTAATCCAAATTTTCTCTAGCGGGACTCCGCACACAATGTCTTAGTAGTCATATTGTGGGGGTAATATTGGAAAGTCCGACGAGTGAGTTGCAGAGCGCGAAGCGAAGGGTTTTCGTGCCTGTTCCTCTCGCTTGGATCTTGGGCTAAGGGGGATGTCCGGCTAGAGCAACGGACTACCGAAATTCGTTCCCTGGTTCTTGATTGTGTACACAGGGATCATTTAATCTACATGTTTAGATGGATTCGTGGTTGTCGCCGAGACATTGGACTACGGGCACTATTTAAATGGTTGTTGGGCGCCCAAAAAGCTTTTCGGCGCATCACAGCTTACTTCCACCATTTACACATTGAAGCCGAACGCTACATATCTTGCGCAGTATCTCTCTTTCTTTGCATTGCCCAGAATAAAAACCTTATACTCTTTTGAGACTTTACTCAGTCTTTTCACATACTACTTAGAAACTACCCGTCAAGATGGACCAAGTCATGCCTCTCGTTACCGATGTTGAGACCAAACTCGACAAAATCACAGCCATCACCTCGGCAAAGGGTGCGAGTCAAATGGGTTTCGGTGATGTTTACACCATGGTCACGCAAGGAAAATCCGTCTCTTCAACTATCAATAAATTGATCAAGGTGTATACCGTTTGTCTCACCTTTCTTTTTGCTCCTGCTTCTCCCTTGCACCTTGCAATCCCGTTGTCCATCCCTTTTCCCCTGCTGTTCTTAACTTCTCTTCCCAGAAAGCAAACCCAACACCAACCGAGAGCCAAGCTCTCATGCCCCAAATGCGACACATCTTCGAGATGGAAGAGCAACAAATGAAATTCGCCCTCGACAACAAGACCACCTTTGACAAGATCTACGTCTGTGGCATGATCAAGAAGAACCTCGTGAGGAACGAGCAGCAAGGCAACGCTCTCGCCGAGCTCCTGATCCAGAAGACTGAGGGAAGCGACAAGGAAGAGGCGGTGGCTATTGGGGAGCGCGTACGAAAGGGGTTCGAGAAGACCCTGGGGGTTTACAAGGGTGCTACTGGTGGTGAGGATAAGTTTGATTAGATGGACTGATGATGGGGGAATTCAACTGGGGATTATCAGATCGCTTGGATGGATGGTTTTTTTTGTAGTTTTATTGTGTTGTATGAGTTGTCGGTCGTTTTTTATTGGGGCTGTGTTGAATCCTCACTCACTTGGTTGCTGTAGTCCCCAGAAATTGCCTAATATACCAAAGTTCCCTCGAAATATGGAAGCAAAGGTCTTTCTGTATTCTCACGTTCTATTTTCTTTTCATGTGACGATGGGGATTCTCGCTAGGATATTTCAGGTTGAGTTGTGAGCGAAAGTCAACTGATTTCTAATCAAGTAGCTTAGCTACATATGGAAAGATTACTACGAACCCCTCTCCGAACAGAGAGAAAGCATTGAGTTCTCAAACCTCAAACATACCCAACTTGTTGGGAATTGATTAGACATATTGGATATTGGGAAAACGGCAATTTAACGAGAACCGAAAAAGAGAAGAGTTGGACATGACCTAAGTTTCAAAACATCTATTAGGCTCGCCCATTGCGAGCATAGAAGGCCATTCCATACGATGAGAAATTCCATGGAACGAAGACTTTTGGAAGAGCAATTCGAAGGCGAGACTAGTCCAAGTTATAACGCAAAGCACTTGAAATCGCAAACCCTACATTTCCTCGGAACAAAGTTGTGGAGGCTCACGAAGGAAGTGCTGAGAGGGCGAAGGTACCAGTATTGTATTCTTGTGCTGGAGATTCTTTGACTAATTTGTAAAGAGGAGCAATATGCGAATTTGTCAAGGGAGGTGGTAGATTTTGATTGCAAATTGCTTAAGGTTGGCGAAGATGGTTGAGCGTTGAATCACTTGTTGAGTACTGCATTCCAGCTGGTGAGCATATGAAACTGGTATGAGCAGTCGAAACTTTTGCAAGCTATTGATAAGGCACCATTCATGTCACGCCAAAATGTTTGAGGGGAAGATAATAAGTGGTTTCTGGTTGAGAGAGTGTAGGCATATTCAAGTGGCAACGGAACATCACTTTCAAATGGTTTACATTTTGAGCCTTTGCTTTATAGAAAAACACAAATTAAATGAGATCCCTTGCTGTCCTTCGTTTCTTTATCACAAGGTAGAAGGCAAAGCAGTAGCCCTTGAATTTGGGTACAGTAGCTATCGCGTTTGACATGAGTCTTCGACAATACCCCATCCCCTTAGATAACTTTTTACTACCACAGTACTTTCAGCATACTTGCAAAATATGATCTTGCACTACCTCCCATATTCAAGGCTGGAACCAGGAGACAAACGTATGGCTCTATTGTGCTGGCTTAAAAAAAGTCACATATATATAGTATGTCCACAACGACACCTTTTTTCGTAGATTGAATTTTTTGTTCTAAAACGCTCAATATCTCTTACTCTCCCCTAATAAGCTGAATTCCTTCCATGGAGACTCCTCTAAGGAGGCCTCCGGCCACGCCTACGCCCCTAGGAAGGGGTGTAGGGAAAGGGGGGGTACGCCCAATTCCTCCCCTCCCCAACATACAACAACAATTTGTCTCTGGGACCACTGAAGCTCTAGAACGTGGTGCTATAGGCCAAATCTTCTTTGGAGGCACCGCAGAAGCTGTAGACCACCACCTAAGTACTGCTCTTGATAGAGCACCTCCGGACCTCTTGCCCTACCTCAGGGCCTTTTGTACACAGGTGGCCGACCTTAGCCTAGCCTTTCACCGAACATACACCTCAGGGGCCCCGCCTCTACTACATTTAGCTCCTAGAGCCCCCAACAGGTGTAGGGACGACCCTACATCCCCCTCGACTTCATCCCCCTCTCTGGCCCCTGTGGGAAAAATTTCTTACGCACAGACCATAAAAGATGCCTCAGCGCCTGATACAGCAACACCACAAAACCCCCTACCTCCTCCTGTCACTTCGAAGCTACAGAAGAACAAGAGATCCCTAGCCAAATCTGACCTCAGAGTCTTTATCCGACTACCTCTAGACGCTCCTGAAAGGAAACACTCTGCTCTAGCTATCTACCTTGCTCTCTGCGACCCAAAAATTGGCTGTAGCGAGCTTGTACAAGAAGTACTGTCAGTTAACTCTGGCTTTGCTATTGTACCTAATAGCAAGGAAGCCCGAGCCACCCTCTTATCAACAAAATACGCCTTTATTCAAACCCTGTTCCATGCAGCCAGAATAGAGGCCTCGCAAGACTGGGCAGTATTCCGTTTATCAGGGATCCCTCGAAGTGTTGAAACAGTCCAGATCAATGAAAAAGGAGCAATTATATCAACCCTCATCCCTACTACTCCTAGTGTAGTTACTGCGGCTATAGAAGAGCGAATGAGAGTAATACCTACAAAGGTTGACATGGCTACGAGCTCTCTCTCTGACGGGCTGTTCTACACCTCTTGGATAGTATTCTTTGAGGAAAAGGACACAAGGGCCCCTCACACCATCCCTGAAATGACGTCTCTCTTTGGAAGAAGAGCCTTCTTTAAGCGCCTTCCTAAAGTCTCTACTGTTACACAGTGCTCTAAGTGCTGGATGTGGCATAACTCAAGGAACTGTGGGAAGAACCAGCGTTGCCGCCTATGCGGTACCACTAAACACTCTGAAGCCTTCCACCCTAGGTGTATTAGACACTCTCAGTGTAAACTGAAGTGCCTACACTGTAGTGGCCCACACGCCTCTGACGACACCACGTGCCAGCTCAGACCAAAAGCCTCAGGGGCTCCCCCCTCAACCGAGAACAAGAGAGCAATCCGGCAAGCATGGAATGAGACGCGGATAAGAAGAGAGGAAGACTCTCCCTGCAGCAGCGTGGACACAGAAATGGACCCGGACCTACCTACTACCCCTCAGAATCCCCCCCCTCAAGCCAGCATAGATAGCCCTCTTACAGCCCCGTCTATAATCCTCCAACGAGCCAATAAGCCCCTTGCTACGACAGTAGAAGAGGCGTACTACGACCTCCCTAGGGAGAGAACCCCGGACATTAACCACTTTACTGTACTATGAGTAGACAAGGATTTATTAAGAACCACTGCCTCCAAGTCCTACAAATCAATGTACACAAGTCTAGCGAATACCAGGAGCTAGTACTACAATTAGCCCACTATAAGCGAGTCGATGTAGTACTAATTCAAGAGCCATATATCTACCTAAGAGATATCAGCCGCCAGATTACAAGACGCCACCCAAACTACGACTGTTTTACGCCTATATGCGAATGGAGCATGGATCCACCAAGAGTACTCACTTTTGTACGAAAAGGGGCTGGAATCCTTGCTAGCCAACGGACCCCTATCGCCCCCTCGCTCAAATCCCGCGACCTCGTTTATGTTGAAACTCCACTCCCTCAAGGCCCCGCACTTCATATACTTAACGTATACAACGCCCCTCTAGGTGCTAAGGGAGCAGGTGAGGCTATAAGCCTTGTCCTTAGCTCTCAACATATCTCTACAACAAACCTCTTCCTAGCTGGGGACTTTAACTTAAAGAGCCAGCTCTGGCAACCGAACTTCCTTGGCCAAGAGAGTGCACAGGCACCCTCGCTTATCAACTGGATAGAGGACAGAGGGCTACAGCTTACTACCCCTCCTGGCACACAAACGCATAATCTAGGGAACACTCTTGACTTAGCCTTTTGCTCTAGCGGCCTCTATCAAAGGGGCACAGCCACAGAGGTTAACCTGGCTTTTGAGTGTGGTTCAGACCACCTTCCTATTCTTACTCGCCTGCCATGCGTGAGAGGCTTAACCGAGGGGCAGCCTCCTCTCAAGCTTAGCACTCTCGACCTAAAAGCCTTTAAGACAGCTCTAGAAGGAAAGCTAGAAGCACAATGGCTATACGAGATTCTAGAACAGCCAGACATGGAATCGCTAGAGGCCCTAGCAGGATTTATTATTGAATGCGTACATAGTGCGTATGTCAGTAGTGCTAAGCGAGGCCTTGGGCATGGGATCGGACATCCATGGTGGAATGAGGGGTGTCAGTCAGCGGCCACCGAGGCTAGAAAAGCTCGAAGGCTCGGAGCTAGCCCAGAGGCTGCGAAAGATCTTCAGAGGGCTCTGAGACATGAAATTCGGAAGGCGAAGGGAGAGCATTTCCGCAACCTAATTGACAAAGCTACAAAGCGCAAGGATGTTTTTAAAATATGCAAGTGGCACCAGAGCACTGGGGTCTACAAGTCCCCCCCGTTGAAGGACTCAGCTGGCCAGCTAGG